AAATTAGAATGCCAATTGTGAGCCAGGTCTTCTCATTCAACATCAGTACCTGACCTCACAAAAGCTCTTTTGACTGAATGGGCACACAAGACACCTCCAAAATCTTGTGGAAAGCCTTCCAAGAAGAGTGGAGGCAGTTATAGTTGGAAGGGGTCAACTCCATATTAATGCCCATGGTTTAGAAGTAGGATGTCCAACAAGCTCATATGGGTGTGATGGTCCGGTGTCCACAAATGTTAGCCACATACTGTATACATACTGTATATGTATAAGATTGATTCCGTAACAAAGACTAGAGGCCACCACCTAAAACTGGTAGAAAAAAAATTCAAACACAAGGGGCGAAGGGGGTTCTTCTCAGTTCGCTCGGTTTGGGTCTGGAACTCGCTGCCACAAGCAGTGAATTCCGCAAATAGTCTGGAATAATTCAAGAAGCTTTTGGATGATTTCCTGAGAGACCGAAAATGTACAAGGGTACAGGTACTCTTAAGAATGAGAACACTCAGGGACCTATACACACACACACACACACACACACACACAATAGGTTGGATTTGATGGACTTATGTCTTTATTCAACCTCAAATACTATGTAACTATGTAACTATGTATTGATCTATTTAAAGTCCAAGGAAACTCGTAATACTGATATGTCAAGCTGTCTTGGGATGTACCCGTACTTTGTCCATGCGGTTGCACATGATATTCTAAATATAATGTAATACAGTGTATGTAAATGGGGTAGTTTTCCCTTTTGTCTGACCCTATGTTCAATGCGGTAGTCAAAAGCTGTTTTTGAGTCATCAAATCTAAAAATGGACATAAAATTCATCACAATTTTACAATAAACTTTTTTCTACAGTGCACCACTGTCACCTGATAGAGGATATAAAAAGAAAAAGTAAACAAAAGAGGAACTAGAGATGAATAATAACATTTCTGATGAAATATGCAGGACTGAAAAATAAACCATCAGTGACGTGTTTCAGTAACATTATGAAACCGCAAAGAGATGAAAGAGCTAGAAGATATAAACGTCTTACAGTAAATAGCGAGAGGAAGCAAAGGGAGATGCTGATTAGTTGGCAGGGCTGGATTTATTCTGTCTGCTGCCCTAATGCCAGTTTCCCCAATGCCCCCCCCCGTATGCATACAAGTGATCTCGGCAACATAGCTGAGATCACTTGTACAAAACAAGCGACACCTTCCCCCGCTGTACATTTAGCTCTGCTTCCCCAAAGCAGGGCTAAATGTAGAAAGCAACTACCCGCCCGGCACCTGGAACTGCATGTCCGGGGTGTCTGGTGATAGGAATTCCCACCCCTGCTGCCCCTCTACTCCCTGCTGCCCCAAGGCCGGGCCTCGGTTGGCCTGGTGGAAAATCCGGCCCTGGACACGGGTAACGCTGGCAGATTTTCTTTAAATATCTACAGCTAGCAGAGTGTATTTTCAGGGAGAAGGCATTTTAATAGTTCAGGCAAAGGAGAGAGAAGTCAGAGAGGAGATGATCATGGTTCGGAGGGAAGTGAGGGGAGGCAGGACATGACCTGACCTGACCAACTCTTGGGTAGAGTTAGAAGGCAAGTAGGTCATGATTATGGACAGCAGAAGAGGAAAAACAAATAAAATAATTTTGCAAGACAATATTATCAAAAGAAAGCCTCGATTGTCCTAAAAAACAATATAATAATATATTTATTTTGTTTTAAAGGAGAAGTATGGGGTTAAGGCTTTTCCCCATAGTTCTCCTTAGGGTAACGGGAGGACACAAACTAGCGCCCTCCCGTCACCCTAGGCTCAGTATACCGCGAGCTACAGCTCCCTATATACTGAGACGCAGCAGCTGAAGCGGATCCCGACAATTATGTCTGGATCCGCCCAGCTGCGTGAGTGACAGCTGGCTCTGCCTATCTAGAGGCAGAGCCAGCTGTGCCC